GCCGGCGCGCCCCGCACACGTACACACACACACTCACGGTACTTCTCCGAGTCATCGAGGGAGTGCGGGACCCGCGGGCAGCCCCCAGTGTCGGCTCAGGTCTCCGGCTGTGCTGGCGGCAGCGGCGTCTCCGAGGCTCTCGCTTTGCCGCAGTCGCCGCCATGTAACCCCGACCCGCGAGAGAGGGCGAGGGAGAGGGGGCGCGGCCTCCTGGAGCCACGCCCCCCGCACGTCACAGGCTCACTCCACGGGTTCCCCCGCCCCCGGCCGGCCCCGCGCGCCTGCACGCGCCGGAATTTCCAACGCTTGTGACTGGGGGCCGCGTGCCGCGGGGGTGGCCCGAGAAGCACGCGGGCTCCTCAGCCGCCTCCGCCAGCCGGGCGAGGGGGGGGGCCTTCTCTGCCTTGCTACTTGCCCCAGCACTAGGGCGCAAAGTGACCAAAACTCCTTAACGAGCGTTTACTGCGCACCTACTACACGCAAGGCACTGGGCAGTCCAAGATGAAAAGGCCTTCATCCCTGTTCCCCGGATGGGCCGGAAACAAGAAATCCGGACCTGAAGATGAATTGGCTAGAAGGCAACAGCCGATTTACAAGGCAAACGCGTTAGAGGCCAAGTGCTAAGAAGGCCATTAATTCTGCCTGAGGGTGTGGAGGAAGGCTTCTAAGTGAGGTCGACACGGGTGACCTTTCAGCTGAAACAGAAGAAACCGATATAACCAGCGGAGGAGGTGAGAGGGAGGGTGTTCCTGCGGAGACAACAAGTGAGCAAAGACCGAGAGGAGGAAAGCACCTGGCTTGTTGTATGCACTGGGAACTAGGCCAGTTTTACAGAAGCGTAGACTCTGGGAAGAGCTGGACCGGGACATGTAGTGGGAAACGTGGATTAGTGCCCACTTAGATGAAAAGCAAACTTATTTTATTTATTATGGCTTATTGAGTCCAAGGAGCCTTTCCAGTGTTTATGTGAAATTTATGTAAGTATTTATGAAATTAGAGACGCTGGTCAGCATGTCTTTTCAATGACTTAATTCCATTCCTGATGAGAACCAAACGTTTGGCAGCCCTTATCCATTATTATGCTTACCTTGAAGCGTGAGGCAAAGACCACTTCAAAGATCCCATAGTGGCTTGAAGTTAAGTGATATGGAGGGAGCTTGAATGCTTTATATTTAAAACAATACCATCTGAATACCAGGTGTGAAGAGGAGATTGTGCGTAGATAAAACCAAGAGAAAGGGGAGGCTTGTTCCAACCCCAGGATTTCTAATTTGTGGATGCAGCCTCTACAACAAGAGTTCCTTACCTGCAACCACTATACATCCCTTACTGACCCTCAGATTCCTAAGACACCTTTCCTCCCCATCCATCAACGTTGGATCACCAGGAGGAAGGGAAGAGGAAAATAACAAGCACTGTGTCTTCCCTGGTGGAGCTAAAAATGTAGTGTCAGCTCCTGACTTCCAGCAAGGACCACCCAAGTAACATGTTAATCAAGCAAAGCCAAGTTCATTGCTTACAGCAGTAAGAGACCATGTTGAGAACCTTAGTCTTAACGAAGGAGGTCTTCAAGAGTAGGATAGTTAGAAGATTCGGAGGATCTGGTTTAAGACAGATCTTTTAATGAAAGAGCATGGTTGAGACTGAGTTAAATTTATGAGATAATCATTTAGGATGAGTGGACACAAGGGAGAGTTTTGAAGCAAGCCTAGAAAAGTAAACAGTTGGTTGATAAACCCAACAGAGTAATCTTGTTGAAGAGAGGGCTGTTTACCCTGATGGTGACGTCAGTCAATAGTCTTGTTCACAAAAATGGACTTTTTTTTTGAGGAAGTTCCAAAAACTGCAATTAAGTTAACTGCAACTTCTTCTTGGGCAAGCATTTCTTGGAATTAAAGTCCTGTTTATGCAGTCAGTTGAGTTGTAAAGTCATGTTAACATAGTCTTAGTTTTTAATCCAATTGTGTAGCTGTAAAGTTTCACTTCTCAGTAGTTTTCTGCTACTTCCTAAGTGAGTAGTGAAATCATTTTGGTGGATTATAACCTGCATTTTTTTAAATAATGAAATAGAACGAAAAACTAAAGAGCATCACCCATAACAAATGGTAAACATTGTTTTGTGAAACTTTTGTTTCAGTTCTGTACCATATTTCAACAAATTGACGTCATCAATTATGAAGTGCCATTATTTTATGTACTATTAAGAAAGTGAAAACTCTACCAAAATATGACGGCCTATTGCTACATCCTATTTCAGAGATATTAAAATGGAGAAAGTACTGCTTAAAATTGGTGAAATATAAGGTATATATAAGTGAGCATACAACATAAAATGTATTTCTACTTTTTGTTTATTATTGCTATGAGCTATGCTATTGTTTAAAGAATTTGAAAGCCCTTGTTGCAGTGGAGGAATACTGGAGAGGAACAGATAAGTATACACCATCAGGCAGCATGAGATGCTTCCTAAGCAAAGATGCAAATTACCTGCTCTTGTTGGAAGTAACAATTAATAATGACTGTAAACATCAGGAAAGGTTTAGTTGGAAGAGAGAATATTTGCACCAGACTTTATTCCATCAGGAAGTATCAAAAAAAAGACATTTCTGGATGCAAGAGTAGAAGGTACAAAGGCGTGAATGTGCCACGTACACTTTGGAAAATGGGAAAAGTCTGACAGGCCCCAGGAAAATGAAGACAAGTTAGCACTAGAATGAGAAGGCCTTGATTGATGCCAGAACTTTTGGATTTATGTAAAGACAGTAGGAGAGGAATGATGATGCAACTAGTTTTTTAGAACAGTAATTCTGGCATGGATGGGAAGGAGAGATTAGATGAACAAGAGATCAGAGACAGGGAGAGGGTAAGAAAATCCATTGTTTTTTCTGCCCTGCATCCAGCCTGCTTTACTGTGGTAAAAATATGCTGATGTCCTTTAAGGATCCACCCTTTCTTTTGTACAGTTGTCCCCCCTTAACCATGGTTTCATTTTCCATGGGTTCAGCTACCCGTGCTCAACTGTATTCCAAAAACATTAAATGGAAAATTCCAGAAATAAACATTCATAAGTTTTAAATTGTGCATTTTTCTGAGTAGCATGGTAAACATCTCAAGCTGTCCTGTTCCATCCCGCCTGGGATGTGAATCATCACCTTGTCCAGTATATCAATGCTGTATACGGCTACCAGCTACTCATGCTTTACTCACTTAGTAGCCATCCAGTTTATCAGATGGATTGTTGAGGTATCACAGATGGAGTGTTGTGTTCAAGTAACCCTTATTTTAGTGAATAATGGCCCCAAACCCATTCACATAACTTTAACTACAGTATATTGTTATAATTATTCTGTCTGATATTACTGTTGTTAATTTCTTACTATAGCTAATTTACAAATTAAACTATCATAGATATGTATGTATAATAAAAAACATAGTATATGTAAGGTTCAGTATTATCTGTGGTTTTAGGCATCCACGGGGGTCTTGGAACCTATACCCTGTGGGTAAGGGGAGGACCACTTTATGAGCTACAAAATAGGAATTGTGTGATTTCACAAAGGAGTTAAATGCTCTTATATTTGTATTTCAAACTGGCATTGTATAATATGAAAATTAAGTCTAAAATTCATGCTAATAAATTTTTAATTTTCCTTACTTAGAATGATATTAAATAGTTATAATAGTTAATTATCTGTCTAAATTTAAAACACCATAACACATCAAGAGAGAGAGACTAGAAAAAAGAAAATAAGCTTTATATTTTAATACATTTAGCTACATTTTTTAGCTACTTTGAAACAAGGGACCATAGAGATTATGTAGCTGGCTTTGAACCACCCCCCCAAAGAGTCGCAACAGCCCTACCCTGAAGAAGGTGGGTCAGGGAAAGATTCCCAAGCTGCCCTCACCACCTTCATTGACAAGGCTACAGCAGGAGAGGCGAGAGAATGAACATTCCTCTGACTGGTGGATAAGGTGTCCAAGGCCATAGCGCGCAGCCACCCATACTCAGAAGCTGCATGTCCTATAGTAAACACCCTGGATTCATTACTCATGGAGGTAGGAAGTGGGGGAGGAAGGAAGACCTTGTTCCGCTGCTGAGGCACATTTTCCTGTGAAAACAATGTTGTAGGTCACGGTTCTCACCCTCATGGTAGAGCTGCATGTGGCTAAATGGGCTTTGAAGAGTTGGCCTGAGAACCTAACCAGTATTTATCACATGGTCTGTCTGGGGGAAATCATTTTCAGTTTCAAACAAACAACCAAGTTAGAAATCAACTTTTGGGAGCATAACTCAGACATACAGAGATACTCTGTACCTTCCTAGCTCAGAAATGCTGAGACCATTGAGAAGGATAGTGTTTGTAAGACCCAGGTAAACAACTAAATGTTAATGAGAAGGTTATTAAAAGTCATAACTTCACTTTATCCTCTGGGTGGTATGAAGAGTTCAGCCCTTAAGATTTACAGCTTGAAGAACTTGATTGCAGGTTCACCAGGGTTGACTGGTCTCTGACAACCAACACACCAAACAAATCCCAGAGACTGTGCACCATAAACCAGATGCCAATCCATTAAGAACACAAAAAAAGCTGTGCTGAGTTGGACTGAAGATTCATCCAATCTGACATTCTCAGACAATGACTGTGAACTTCTATGGTTTATTCATTGTAAACTCTAGTGTTGAGCATAGTGTCTGAATACAGTGTTCTTACGATAAATGTTTGTTGAAAATGAACTGTTTTGAATATTGCAATTGCCCTCTATGACATAAACTTCAGAAAGGTAAGGATTTCCTCCATATAGTCACTCATTTTATTCTATTTTTAAAGCAACTTTCTCCTTAGGGAATCTATTTGGTCATTTTAGTTGCCCATTTCTATGACCAGGTGTATCTACTAGGCTCTTTTTTTTAAGGTTTCGGGGTAGAATTAGATGAATGATTCCAGGTATAACTTCATTACCATTTCGTCAAATGTAGGACAAAACAATTTTGTTAAAAGCTGTCAGTTTTGGGGCCGGCCGAGTGGCGCGTTGGTTAAGAGCTGGCTTGGGACGCCAGAGGGCCCAGGTTCGGATCCCACATATGAGGGCCAATGACACTGCCCTCTACAGCTAAGATGCTGAACCTGGAGCTGGGCTGCCGTGAGTTGCCAGTGATGGCATAGGCTGCAGCTCCTGCTGTAGTGGGTTGCCATGGGCTACCATGTGTAGCCAGCAGCC